CAAAATGTCATTAAAAAGACAGAAAAAGAAGAAAAAAAAATGAGTGTCAGAAGAGACTGTGAAACTTGCTCTTGAACAGAGAGTAGCTAAAGCAGATGGAAGAAATGACAAGATAAAAAAGCCCAACAAAAGATTCCAAAGAGCAGCTCAAAAAGACAAATTATTATAAGGAAATGTGCAAAGACCTGGAATTAGAAAACCAAGAGGAAAGAGCATGCTTGGCATTTCTCAAGCTGAAAGAAGTGAAGAAAATGTCAAGCCTCGAGTTACAATACTAAAGGACTCTATAGGCAAAATATTGAGTTATGCAGGAAGCATCAAAAGAAGAGGGAAGGAATACACAGAGTCACTGTACAAAGAATAATTGGTCAATGTTCAACTATTTCAGGAGATGGATTATGATCAAGAACTAATGGTATTGAAAGAAGAAGTCAAAGCAGCACTGGAGGAACTGATGAAAAACAAGGCTTCAGGAATTGATGGAATACCCATTGAGATGTTTCAACACACGGATGCCACACTGGAAGCACTTACTTATCTGTGCCAAATAATTTGGAAGACAGCTGCCTGGACAATTGACTGGAAGAGATCCATAGTTGTACCCATTCCAAAGAAAGGTGATCCAACAGAATATGGAAATTATCAAATAATATCATTAATATCACACACAAGCAAACTCTTACTAAAGATAATTCAGAAATGGTTGCAGCAATATATTGACAGGGAGCTTCCCAAAATGCTAGCTGGATTCAGATGAAGGTGTGAAATGAGGGATATCATTGCTGATGTCAAATATATCTTGGCTAAAAGCAAAGAATACCAGAAAGATGTTTACTTCTTTTTTATTGGCTATTCAAAAGCATTCAGCTGTGTGGATCATAACAAATTATGGATAGCATTGTGAAGAATGGTGATTCCAGAGCACTTAATTGTGCTCATGAGGAACCTGTATATAGACCAGGAGGCTGCTGCACAAACAGATACTACTGCATGATTCAAAATCAGGGTGTGCATCAGGGTTGTATCCTTTCACCATACTTACTCAATCTGTATGCTGAGCAAATAATCTGAGAAGCTAGACTACAAAAAGAAGAATGTGGCATCAGGATTGGAGAAAGAACCATTAACAACCTGTAATACGCAGATGACACACCCTTGCTTGCTGAAAGTGAAGATGACTTGAGGCACTTACTGTTGAAGTGCAAAAACTACAGTCTTCACTATGGATTATACCTCAACATAAAGAAAATAAACATCCTCACAACTGGACCAATAAACTGTATCATGATATATGGAGAAAAGATTGAAGTTGTCTGGGATTTCATTTTACTTGGATCCAGAATCATTACCCATGGAAGCAGCAGTCAGGAAATCTGGCGTAGTATTGCGTTGGGGAAATCTGCTGCAAAAGACCTCTTTAGAGAGTTGAAGAGCAATGATGTCACTCTGAAGTCTAAGGTGCACCTAACCCAAGCCATGGTATTTTCAATTGGCTCATATGCATGATAATGGTGTACAATGAATAAGGAAGACTGAAAAAGAGTTGATACTTTTGAATTGTGGTGTTGGTGAATACTGAAACTACCTCGAACTGCCAGAAGAACAAACAAATCTGTCCTGGAAGAAGTACACCGAGAGTGCTCCTTGGAAGTGCAAGTGGCCAGAATTCATCTTACCCACTTTGGTCATGCTGTCAGAAGGGACCAGTCCCTGGAGAAGGATATCATGCTTGGTAAAGTGGAGGGTCAGCAAAAAAAGGGAAGACCCTAAATGAGATGGATTGACACAGTAGCTAAAGTATAGCAAAGATTGTGAGGATGGTGCAGGACCAGGCAGTGATTTGTTCTGTTTTATATAGAGTCACTATGAGTTGGACCCGACTCAACATCACCTAATAACAATGAAACACAGTCGACTGCCTTTGTTTAGTCATGAAAACACTGGTAAATATTTTTCTGGTATTCTTTGCATTCCGCCAAGATCCATCTAACATAAACAGTAATATGTGTTGTTCTACTTCATCTTCTGAATCAGAGTTGAATATTTGGAAGTTCCCTGTCAAAATACTGCTGCAACCATTTTTGTATTATCTTCAACAAAATTTTCTTGCGTGTGATATTAATGATATGGTTCAATAACTTCCATCTTCTATTGGATCACCTTTCTTTGGGATGTGTACAAATATGGTTCTCTTCCAGTCAGTTGGCCATGTAGCTGTCTTCCAGATTTCTTGGGATAAGAAAGGAGTCCCTCCAGTGCTCCATCTGGTTGTTGAAAAATCTCATTGTGTATTCTGTTACTTTCTAGAACCTTGTTTTGTTTTTGTTTTTGTTTTTGTTTTACCAATTCCTTCGGTGTAGCATGGTCTTCTTTCCTTAGTACCATCAATTGTTGATCATATGTTACCTCCTGAAATGTTTGAACATAGACCAAGTCTTTTATGTACAGTGATTCTGTGTGTTTCTTCCAGTTCTTTTGATGCTTCTTGCATCATTCAGTATTTTTCCTATAGAATAATTCATTATGGCAACTTGAGGGTTGAATCAATTTTTTAGTTATTTCACAGAACTAAAGACACAGCTGACTGTATACATACATCTATTGATATACTTTTTGCAAATTTGGGAGGTATTTGAATTTTATAATGTAGTTAGTTTCTAATACTGTGAATTTTATCCTTGCTGCTTCCCGTACTCTTCTAAAAATGTTTTTTCTTTCAACTTCTGTGATTAAATTTCATTTTCTTTCATCTGATCCATTATCACTACACCCCTATTCTAAAACCACTTTAGATGAATGTTTCACTGAGCTTTTCCAGCAAAAATCATGTGTTTCTTCATGATCTGTAATTGGGGGCAGGGGCGGGGGGCCTGCTTTATTTGAGTTTTTAAAGACAGTTAAAACAAATGAGATATTTCAATTCTATTTTTATTGGAGTTCTAAGTGATAGAATAATTGCACATTTATGCTAGTTTCCACAAAATATGCGAGTAAAATGAAGAAAATCAAGCTTTTCCTCTCACCCATCAGAAACACAGGCATGGTCCATCTACCTCTAATGCCATCTATTCTCTTTCTCACAGCAGCAATATGATGGCTACCATGTCTAGAATCTTTAACTACAGCTGGCTGATCTGAGATTTGAATAGTGAACCATTTACAAGAGGAAAAGGACATTTCAATTTGGGGGACAATATATACAGTGTATAACAACCATAAGAGGAAAATTATCAAAAATGCAGTGGAAACTAATAGGAGCTAAGGCTATGTGGAGTCTTAAAAGGTAGTTAAGTAATAGCAAACCATTTGCAACCTTATTTCCTTCTGTGTTCAAATGCTTCATATACTTCCTTCCTCTCCAATTATTATTTATGTTGAAAAATAAAGCTAGCCATACTTCTTCCGTTTTTTCCATATGAATTTGTAGAATATTTCTACAGTCCAATCCATTTAGCAGCCTAATTCTATGGCTGTCTGCATGTGAAATTGTTCTTTGGCATGAATAAAAGCAATGACTAATTCAAAGAAAGCTATTTGAGTGGAAGTTTGGGACTATAAAGCAACTGAAAAATACAGACTGAAAAATTTAAAAGCATTCAGAAGAAAAATGCATGTCAACTACTGAAGCCATGGGTGTTCTTTTTACAAAAGAAACATTCCATCTTTTATGTCTGTACTATTTTCCTGTGTTCCAAAGAGACTCTTTCAGGACCATCTCAAATGGAGAACACTCACAATTATGCAGACTTGTCCCAACCCCTCTCCAAAAAAAAAAAAAAAAAAAAAAACACCCCAGTTATTATATAAATTTATTTTTGGAATTCACAGAACAATCTGAATAGAAGAAGCACCATGATACATTACTAGTTATTTCATAAGTACAGTATGAATATGTGTGTAATTTTGAATTTTTTTTCAAGTTAAGTCATTTTATATATAAAGCTTTACTTCGAATTAACTAAAATTCATATTCGGCACTTTCAATACCTCCTATTGCTCTATACAATTTACCATATCCTCCAGTCGAAAGTGTGTGCTTCTCCTCAAGCAGGGAACATTGTCTATTACTAGCCCACACACTGAGGGGCCAACAGAAATTTGATGAACGTGATGAAAACTGGGCAGCAGGCAAAAGAAAATTTTGTCAGCAGGATCTAGTGAACTTGAAATATGTTCTATCCTACTTACAAATGCTGGTTTTATTTTGTGAAGAGCACTGAGTGTTTGTAGCAAGTGCCTGTCACTAAACTTGTTGAAATTATGAGCAGTGGAAGGACTAGGTGTCTGCTATAACAGTAGTGCTGTTATAACAGAAATATCACAAGTGAGTGGCTTTAACAAACAAATTTATTTTCTCACAGTTTAGGAGACTAAAAGTCCAAATTTAGGGCACTGGCTCTAGAAGGTTTTCTTTCTCTTTTGGCTCTGGGAGAAGGTCCCTATCTCTTTTCAGCTTCTATTTCTTGGTTCTTTGGAGATCTCATGTGGTGTGTCATATATCTTCCCCCATCTGTACTGCTTACTTGATTGCTTGCTCAATCTGCTCTTTTATAACTCAAAAGAGATTGACTTTAGATGTACCCTGTACTAACACTGCCTTGTTAATGTAACAAAGAATACCCATACCCAAATGAGATTATAAGCACAGGTGGACCGTTAGAATTTACAACACATATTTTTTTTTTGGGGGGGGGGATAAAATTCAATCCATAACTATTGCTACAGCAAGGATGTACTAAATGGAGTCTCTTTCAGTAGCTCATTAAAATCACTAGAACTCACTATCTCTAAAATATGAATGTATCATTATTAAGATTTGTAGGATGGTTACCAGGCTTCATGAAGAGTCTAGAAGTGTTAATATTTATGACTTTAATTTTACTCTTCATTTGAGAATATGGATTTAAACAAATGAATTTATAGTACATTTGAAAATCCTGGAGTGAAAATAAGATTAAGATGAATCTTCACATCTCTAACTAACATTTGCTTGATCTTAGGAGCACGGCATTCCTACCGACCTGGGCTATGCAGTTGCCCCCCACCATTCGGGTGTCTATCCTGTGCATGTTCAGCTTTATGAGGCCTGGAAGAAGGTTTGGAATATTAAAATCACCAGCACAGAAGAGTATCCACATCTAAAACCAGCTCGATACCGGAGGGGCTTCATCCACAAAAACATCATGGTGAGCTTCCTCCATTATGCCTAGGGTACAACTAATTCTGTCAGATTTACATTTCTCCTTTGAAGCAAGAATAAAAGAAAAGACCAAAATATTAAAAGCCTAACTGTATGAAAAGCCACATGCTGCAGAAAGCATATTTGTCATATAAAAGCAAAGGCTGTTTTAATTAAGACACTTCTTCGCAATTCTTTAAAAATAACTAAAATGGCTTTGACACTACTGCTATTAAGGAGGCACTGATGTTAAAATACTGAGGAAACATTACAGATAATTTGAAGATAATATTTGGAAGCCATCATTTCTTTAAGGACATATTTAATACATAAAACTAACACCAATTTTGTACATATTAACCATGCTGCCCTTTTACAAACCAAACTTTGTATTGCTCTTTACATGTCAGGCTAAGAATATCCAAATATTTACAGCAAGAAGCCACATATGAAGTCCTGCATAATTTCTAACAGATTATAACAGAGTAGCTATTTTGAATATACTTTACATCCTCACAACTGGACTAATAAGCAACATCAAGATAAATGGGGAAAATATTGTTGTCAAAGATTTAATTTTGCTTGGATCCAAAGTCAACTTCCATGGAAGCAGCAGTCAAGAAATCAATTGACATAAAGTGTTAAAAAGCAGAGATATTACCTTGAGGACTAAGATGTTCCTGACTAAAACCATCGTATTTTCAATTGCCTCATATGCATGAGAAACCTGGACAATGAATCAGGAAGAATTGATGCCTTTGAGTTATGGTGTTGGTGAAGAATACTGAATATACCTTGGACAACCAGAAGAATGATACTTTGTCTTACATAGTTTGGACAATTTCTCAGGAGGGACCAGTCCCTGGAGAAGGACACCATGCTTGATAAAGTAGAGGGTCAGTGAAAAAGAAGAAGACCGTCAACTAAATGGATTGACACCATGGCTGCAACAATGGGTTCACATATAGCAATGATTGTGCGGGTGACACAGGACTGGGAAATGTTTTCTTCTATTTTTATGGAGTCACAACAGCCTCCACAGCACCCAGCAATAACAACAATATAGAGTAGAAATAAGAAGCAATGTCAATTAAATCATTTGTATCCATTGTCTAATTCTCTCCAAAGACTCTGTTTTGTTTGTGTTGTTATTGTTTTGCCACTGCTAACAAATATGTATCGCCTCAACATTTTACTTACAGAGTTATCACCTAATATTTCATAAGGCTTTGCAAAGTAGGTAGTTAAATCCTAATGTTTTCTCAAATCAGAAAAGTCCAAGGAAGGTATTGGTAACATTAGGAATGTGCTTCCTGAGTTAGATTCAGACACTGGGGAGACCACACAGAAGAACATTATGATGAGACACTATAACTCTCTGTCAAACTAATGTGTTTGAACAGATGTCTACCTTCCAGAATTAGGTGTAATTGATTTCTTTTCAGATAGTTTTACAATATCTGCAAAAATTAGAGTGGATAATGACATTTAATTTGGATCACCTCCCATCTTGACTTTCCCCTCAATAAAAACTGTTATGAATGCTAAATGGGGACATCACAGCCACATGGTATCCCAGTCTGCCCTTCTTCTCTTGAAAATGAACTCACTGTGCCTTAAGCTGCCAGCTTTCTGGCCAGAGAGAGGTTAGGAGACTTGGGCTGTGCTATCATTTATAAGCATTCTGTACTCTCCTGTCATTTTAACCTCATAAGCTGTCTTTGTAGAAGTAAACTTAAATTTATAAGGACTTTAATCAATGTTCTTCTCTTTTGTTCTGTTTCTATATCTACTGCCAGGAAACTTGCTTGTATTGGTCCCATGAGATGCGTTCATTTTCAGTTTTACCTGAAAACATACTTTACCTGTATTAAAATGCATGAATCTTACAGGTAATAAAGACTTTAATAGATTTCCTGTTTTCATGGAACTGTCCCTGTGGTTCCACTTTTGTAGCAATCCAGGGACCCTGTATATTTGTTTTGTGGGCTCTTGGATGAAAATTCCTAAGTAGGAAATGTTCAACAGGCAGTTGATTATGCAGGAAAACAGAGAGAGGAAAAAAAAAAAAAAAAGACACACTGCCATCGAATCAATTCTGACATAACAACCCTATAGTACAGAATAGAACTTCCCCATAGGATTTCCAAGGTTGTAAATGTTTACGGAAGCAGACTGCCTCAACTTTCTCCCACAAAGAGGCTGGAGAGTTTGAACTGCTGATCTTTTGGTTAGCAGCCAAATGCTTTAAACACTACACCACTAGACCTTTTAGAAAGAGAGAGAAGACAAGGCTATTGGCATTCCCTTATAGAGATGCAAACAGAGATTTCAAAAACCAACAATCCTGGGTGGCTCAAATGGTTAACTGGTTCACTGCTAAGTAAAAGGTGGGAGGTTCAAGTCCACCCAGAGGCACATCGGAAAAAATGACCTGACAATCTACTTTCAAAGAATCAGCCATTAAAAACCTTATGGAGCACAGTTCTACTCAGACGACACACAAGAGGTCACAATGAGCCAAAATCAACTCATAGTGAACTGGTTACGGAGAGACTACAAAGGAAACAGGAGCCGGGAACTGAGTAATGAACCTTACATCATGTCCGTTATCTTGTTGAATGGGATGCATGAGAAAAACATTTAGTTATTGATTGATGATCCATTCACAAATCAAACTCAAAAAGAAGATCTTTTACTAACTGAGCTTTTACTATTTTTTGATGTACATTTGTGACACGTTTTTAAAAATTACTAACCAAATGCATAATTTCTCTCATAATTGTGGAGCTGGCAATCTTCAAACTTAGAATTTGGGTCACCAACTATAGCCTGCCAGTCTTTCAGAGAAGATACTGTGATTTGTGTCTCAAATATTTTTTCTAATTAAAAATATCATTTTCTAAAAGCATATTACTAATTGATTAATTTCTAATACATGTGTAGAATCTGACAAAAAGTAATATTATTATTATTAAAATTTTCACCATCTAGAATTACAAGGTAGCACAGATAATTTAAACATTTTTAAACTCTCATTTTATTTCTTCTCTGTTTTCTAATTGCTTAAGAAACTTGAATTTACTAGGCTTCATAATAGAAGAACTTTGAGATTTAAAATAGATAAGTGACTAAAATAATCCCAAGCCTATCTTATTTTTAAAATATTTCTTCAACTTTCCTCAATATTCCATCTGTACTGATGTCATCCTTGCTTTCGCAGAGTGTGAAGGATTTTCTGAGCCTTATTTAGAGTTAAATAATGATACTAGCTTATATATCATTTTCTATGAGAACAAAGCTCAAATTCAATGATTTAAATGGTGATAGAAACTTCTTCCTTATTTATTCACTTTTACTCAGGTTCTCCCAAGACAAACCTGTGGGCTTTTCACTCACACGATTTTCTACAAAGAATATCCAGGAGGTCCTAAAGAGCTGGACAAGAGTATCCAAGGAGGTGAACTTTTCTTCACTGTGGTTCTCAATCCAGTAAGTACTTTTTATTATTCTCCAAATAAACAATAAAAAGTAACAGGATGGATGAAAATTACCCTAAGAAAGAAACCAGTGATCAGGTTTGATCAAATCAATATGATATTCTGGCTCTAAAACAGTTCTTGTTAGGTGCCGTCAAGTTGTATTCGACGCATAGTGACCCTATACACAGCAGAACAAAACACCGCCCAGTCCCGTGCCAGCTCTGTGATCCCTGCTATACTTGACCCCTTTGCCGCAGCTACTTGTCAATCCATCTTGTTGAGGGCCTTCCCCTCTTTTGCCGACCCTCCACCTTACCAAGCATGACATCCTTCTCCAGGGAATGATCCCCTCTGATAACAAAGTAAGTGATCAAAGTAGGTGAGACGAAGAATGGCCAGACTAAAAATGTAGTAAAAACCAAATGTAACCACATCTAGAAATGGGGCAAAACCTGTTGTACAAGTACCAGTAACCAGAGCAATTTGATGCAGAGCCAGGAAAACACTCCAACAGATACTTCTGCACATTGAAAATTGCTCAGAATTCAGAGATTCTTGCTTCTTTGGGGAGTAAGGTTTTTCACCTTTGAAACACTCCTATTTCCAATTTTTTCATTTAGGTGACCATTATCACTAATATTCCTTTTCTTCCTATTAAAAAGTATATGTAAAGTAGGAGAGGAATAAGTTAAGCAAATATGGTCATTGTCCCTGTATTCATGTTAAATCTTATCTTACTCTATACCAAGCTGAAGAAGAGCAGCCCAATTTAATGAGCTACTGCTCTTCCCTCTGGAATGGGAATTCCAGAACACATAAGTGTTCTCATGGGGAACCCATACGTAGACCAGCAGGCTGTCATTCAAACAGAACAAGAGGATACTGAATGGTTTAAAATCAGGAGGGGAGTGTGTCAAGACTGTATCCTTTCACCATACTTATTCAGTCTGTATGCTGACCAAATAATCCAAGAAGCTGGACTATATGAAGAAACACATGGCATCAGGATTGGAGGAAGACTCATTAACAACCTGCGATATGCAGACAACCACAACTTTGCTTGCTGAAAGTGAGGATGACTTGAAGCACTTACTGATGAAGATTAAAGTCTACAGTCTGCAGTATGGATTGCATCTCAACGTAAAGAAAATGAAAATCCTCACAACTGAACTAATAAGCAGCATCATGATAAATGGATAAAAGATTAAAGTTGTCAAACATTTCATATTACTTGGTTCCATAATGGAAGCAGCAGTCAAGAAATCAGATGACATATTGCACTGGGAAAATCTGCTGCAAAAGATCTGTTTAAAATGCTGAAAAGCAAAGATACCTCTTTGAAGACTAAGGTATAACTAACCCAAGCCATGGTATTTTCAATTGCCTTGTATGCTGGACAGTGAATAAGGAAGACAAAAGATGAGCTGATGCTCTTGAGTTGTGGTGTTGGTGAAGAATGCTGAAAGTACCTAAGACTGCCAGAAGAACTAACAACTCTGTCCTGGAAGAAGTGCAACCAGAATGCTCCTGGGAAGCGAGAATGGCCAGACTTGGTCTCATCTACTTTGGTCATGTTGTCAGAAGGGACCATTTCCTGGAGAAGAATATTATGCTTGGTAAAGCGCACAGTCAGCAAAGAAGGGGAAAGCCCTCAACAAGATGGACTGACACAGCATTTGCAACAATGGGCTCAGGTATAGTAAGGACTGTGAGGCTGGCACTGGACCAGGCAGTGTTTTGTTCTGTTGTACATAGGGTCAGAGCCAACTTGATGGCACCTAATAACAACAGCACCTCTTCCCCCTTTACTTCTTAGTATTTTTGTGCTTGTGGTTGGCTTACAAAGACTCGTTTACAGATTTTTCTTCTTGAGACAAGAATTATGAAATTGTTTGGAGAAAGACCATTGGCACACAACAACAACAACAACATGGAGAAAGAAGAACTAATTGAAGTAAGCCATATAAGGAAAAGAAATGATTTTATTTCCCTTTGGAAAATCTGTAACATAAAAAAAGAAAACTAAGTTTATTTATCAGGAGATATATGGATTTTTGCCCCTGGCATTAGCAAGATTCAAAATGAAAATATGTAATTATCTGTAAATGTGGAAAATAAATTCTATCAGTGTAAAAGGTGAATAAGATAGAGATAAACAGCATAAAATTTGAAAGACTCCTCTCTTGACCTTAATTTACAGGTCTTGCAGATAAAATTGCAGGTATTTTTCATAATTCTCCTTGTATTCACCAACTATATCTATTTTTAATTCCTAGAAAATAAGATACAACTAAAAGTAACTCATCTTTGGGCAAAATCTGAATGTTTATCCAAAACTCGGATAATTTGGGATAGTGTGGCATTTAGCCTTTTGGAAGTTTCTAAATCTTCAAACCACAGAAATTATAAATGTCTGATGTATACATGAGAAATAATATGAATCTCCTAACACAGCTATTCTATACAAATGGAAATATCCTTTGAATCATCTCATAAAGCTTTCTGTTTCTTCTCAATTCATTCATCAAAGCACAGCTAAAAGAATTAAACCTATTCCTGTTTATTAACTGAAGAACTCAGTTGAAATGCTAACATTTTCTCCGATAATTTTAAGAACCTTTAATTGTTAACTTGAAATTCTGATATTTATATTTCCTTTCATCATAGAGCAATAGGACTATGAACAGTTAACCATGAATTTGATCCTTTTAATCAGTGGTTGGTTTGGTACTTATAATAACATTCAGAACTTTCTAGACCAAATGAGTTTCATTTAATATAGAAGAAATTAAAGATTAGACCATTCATGTAGACTGGATTTATATTAAGAATTTCACCAACTTTGTAATAAAAATATTATAGTTTTCACTAATTAAAAACCAAATTACTTTCTAAAATAAAACATAAAAACTTGTTAAAACTTGGGTGGATCTTGGACATCAATTTGGACTGAACTGAGGAAAGTCTTCAACCGTTTAGCAGGTCTCACTATTTTCAAGCCTTTAATAATATTTGGAATTGTGTTTTTCTTAATGAGGAGATCCACAGGAAACAAGAAATACAGAGAACAAAAACTTTCCCACAAAACCCATTTTTTCCTGATTCGGAGCACCATCGATAGCCATTTACTTCAGAATAAACACTGGGATTCAAATCGTCTCTGACATGAGATAGGCAAGGAGTCCAAGCCTAGCTTCATCTGGCATGGCTTCTCAAGGTTTTGGAAGCAATCACTGCTGCCTAGGGACATGTGGCTAAGAAACCCCAGTATAGGGTCAGTGGAGTAGTGTTATCATAAAGTTATGCTGTTGTGCTGCCCTGCATAACAGAATGAGAAGAAGTGACATGCTTCCCATGTATTCTCTATGACAAAATTAAAAGTTTGGATAACGCTTTATGAAAATTAAGAAAGGATCAGGTACAGTAGGACATAATAGAGATTTAGCAGATGCCACTGTTTTTTAGGTCAGAATAAGAAAGAAAACCTTGGAACCAAAGTATGTTTTAGATGTAGGGGATATATAAATTTTAATTATAGTGGATTTGAAAGATAACCATTGTATGCTTACATAATACCTTAGGACTCGATTAAAAATGCCATTTTCTGCGAATACAGACCAACTGAGGTGGTAGTATCCTACAAAAGTTAGATGTGTATTGGAGTGCTTTGGAGGCACTTCAAATCCATTGAAGATGAAAATGAAAATATAAGCATGGCTTTAATTAATGATGTTTTACAATTTTCTTTCCATGTATCAACATAATTCCACAAATAGTACAGTAACTTTTACCAATACTGTGGTGACGGGCAGCTGCAATTAGGAGCCTTTCAGAGTTAAACACAAGACGATTAAAGACTCTTTGGATGAAGGAACTCCCTGATCTGTAGTATTCTACTCTTACCCAATTCAGTATGTTTTCATAGCTAAAGAAAGAAAATTCAATCAAGTGAATTCAGTACAGGTAAAGAGTTAGAAAGGTAAATGCTGATAGCGTGTTAGGGGAGGGAGAACCTTGGTCAGATCAGAATGATTATTTCCAATGTCATAGCCTGGTAAACTCTGATGTGTGTTGGATTCAAGGGTTTTGATCAGTAGCTTTAAGGTCCAGATCCACTGGGAGATGGGTCCATCAGTCTATCTGACCTGGGATCATTAAGAATTCAGTTCTTCTTTGAGTGAAGGGAAGGGAAATATACCAAATGTGAGTGATTAGCATGGTCACAGTGAGGAAGAAGAAGACATGGAGAGGTGCATGGGAGGTACAGACAGCAAAGATGAACCCTTTTGCATATACAGTGATGAGTTTTCAGTGATGGCAAGCATTGACATATGGGTGGATGGATGGGTGGACAGGTTGAATGATCTGGTGTGTCTAGGCAGGGGCTAATGTACCCATGACCATAGATGCAGTTAGCAGATGATGTTTGTACAAGTGTATTTGTAAGTGCTGTGAGAATGTCAGGGTGGATAGTGGAGCTGACAAGGGATGGGGTTGTGGTGACTTTTTGGCCACAGCCAGATACCTGGAGGAAGCAAGTAGTTGGACTTGTGGGTTTGAGACCATGGTTGCAGGGGACATCAAGCTCAATTGGCATAACATACTACATAAAAACATTGTTCTATGTCCTACTTTGGTGAGTAGTGACTGGGGTCTTAAAAGATTACAAGTGGCCATCTAGATGCAATGATGAGTTTTTCCTCATCCAGAGCAATGAAGAATGAAGAAAGCCAAAGATGCATGGAAACAATTAGTCCAAAGGACTGACAGACCATGCGATCCTCAGCCTATTTGAACATGAGACCAGAAGGACTAACCGGTGCCCAGCTACCAGTCAACCACTAAGAGGGGTATTGTTGCAGGAGATCCTGAATAGAGTTGGAGAACAATGTGAAACAAAACTCAAAACCATAAAAAAGAAAAGAAAAAGACCAAGTTTGCTGGTTTGATAGACCCAGGTGAGTCCACTGGCCCTTAGCTACCTTTCAGGTCTGGAATTGAACTCACTGC